CATTGTACAGAGGGGGGGGTGTAGTATATACATTGTATATATTATGGGATGGATGGTATATTGTGTACACATTGGACATCGCACACACACACAGCTGGCGGCCGCCGACCCGATGTCGCTCTGCCGGGCAGCTGATGGGAAATTCTCAGTCTTGTGATTGGTCGGCCGCTGGAATTTCGGGCAGATCGCAGCCTCCTGATTGGCCGCCCACACGTGCAATTCTCTCACGTGCTTCCGGTTGGAGGAAAAAGTACAGCCAGGAGATGAGAGGAGGCAGAGAGGGAGAAGAGAGCGCAGAGTGCGGAGACATCGCTCACTCATCGGCCGCACATCGCCCGATCCCAGACATTCTCCAGGACAGCCGCCGCCGGCCCCGGGGACTCAGTGATGTCGGCTGGGGCTCTGTAGGGCGCAGATTGTCGGGTGTAGAGGGTGTCATGGAGGATCAGACTGAGCAGAGCCCCGGAGCCCCCAGTGACCCGGAAAGCGGGGTCTCCCCTCCCCCCCTACACCCGGGAGCCCCCCCACACCGGACAACCAACTTCTTCATCGACAACATCCTCCGACCCGACTTCGGCTGCAGGAAGGAGACTCCGGGCAGAGAGAACGTCAACCCCCTGCACACCCGACAGGGTCACCCCTCACCCGGCCAGGACTCCGACTCCCCCAGCGACTCCTCCAAAGGGGGGGACCCCAACTCCCCCGTCCTCATCGGACCCCAAACACGCAAGTCTGACCCGATGGTGTGGCCCGCCTGGGTGTATTGTACCCGCTACTCCGACCGCCCGTCCTCCGGTGAGTGCCCGACTCCCCCACACACCCACCGGCCGATGTCATGACCTGAGAGTCATTGTGTGCCGGGGGTGCAAGTGATTGGATGTGTGAAAGTATCGTGTGCGATGTGTGTGACCAGGAGTGTGCGATTATTATCGGTGCTTCTGAATCCGAGCCGACAAGAAGAATCACCGACCGATAATAATAATAATAATGATGATGTTATGAGGAGTGGGAATTATTTGTTGCGGCCACGAACATCTCAGTA